TGCTCTCAATCTAGAGAGATTAAAGAGCTTTCCGTCTGATCTAGTCCGGAGATAGACGCCCTCGGTTGCAGTTCCAAAGGCATGCTTCAGCATGACAGCAAAAAAGATCCCAAAAAGTGTTGGTGCGAGGACACAGCCCTGTTTCACTCCGCTTCGAATGTCAAAGGGGTCTGATGTTGAGCCGTCAAAAACTACAGTGCCTTTCATTCCCTCATGGAACGATCTGATGATGTTGAGGAGACGAGGTGGACATCCAATCTTGGGAAGTATTTTAAAAACGCCATAATAATAATAACAATAATAACAATAACAATAACAATAACAATAATAAAGTCAAAGATTTCCTGTAATCTATAAAGCACAAGCTGGTTTTCTTGAGAAATTCTTACTGTGTAAGATTTTGAGCATCATCTTGCTTGCATGGGAAATTAATGCAGTGGTTTGATAATTATTAGAGTGTTTGATGTCTTCTATCTTTGGGATGCGAATGTGTATTGAACATTTCCTGGCTGTGGGTCATTGGCTGAAATTGCTCTCCTCAATAATTTCTGACTCCTCCATCAATATTGTTTCTGCTCTATTTCCTATTTTTGTAGGAAATCTTTATTGTAGGAAATTATTGTCATAATGACTCGTTCCACACCATGCTCACTATCACAGCCACACCATTTCTTCTGATATTGATCAATTGCAGAGTAAGACCCTTTGTAATTATCTGATGGAAAATGTCCTGTTCCAGTCCGTTGTAATTTGATCACACAAAGTGTTATGATATTTAGGTATTCCATGTCTTGTTCCATCATTGTTTTCCTATTTCTGCCTCACTTTGTAGTCTTTCGTATGTTTGACAAGGGCATTTGACATTTACCCTTTTAACAGTGGAAAGGTATTAGTTTTATGATGCAATTTTCTGCAGGATTACAAATTGTTATAAGATAAAAGAAGGTTTAATAATAAGCATGACATATTTATTGTCAGGTTTTTTTTAATGTCATGCTGGTACAGCAGTTGTTATGTCCCCATTAGACTTTTAGCCATTAAAGAATTTCAAAAGAGAACTTTTAGTGTGGTAGTAAGAAAACATGAACATAGTTTTGTCTGTTGATTGCTGTGAGTTCCAGAGAGATGGCTGAAGATATAGATGATACTGAACTTGGGGGGAAACTCTGGGATACAAGGCCCCTGGAACATTTCCAGACCTGCAAGTCACAGAATATTCATTCTGTATTAGACCTATAAAATGGAATCTCATTGAGAAGAGGTATTAAAGTCTAAGTTTAACAATGGGTGAAAAAATACAAATGAATGGTCTTCAGGACTTAGCCAGGTTCTCAAATTTCTTGCCAAAGACTGCTGTGGAATTTGGCTGACCTATTTTTAAAAAAAGTATCCTAAACAAATATCTGAGTAAAACATGAAGCTATCATGGGAAGTACTAAGAATTTTTTTTTCATGAGCGCCAACTGTACGTAGATGTGGTTCATGTGTCATGATGCCCTGAACATCAAATGACTGTGTGTATTTTAGTTCTCAAATTTCTTCTCTGTTCTAGTTATACACCTGGTTTTTGTTGGTTATAGGACACTT